CATTTATACTATGATTTTAACATCATATTGCTACCATTTCTGTTTCCTCATTCATTTAGAAAATCAACTGATCTTTAGGTAAGATCTTATTTATCATTGGTATGAAGTTTTTTAGTCTTTTAAAAGAATGAAAATAATGGAAAATAAAGATAGATATTGGCTATTTTGTTTAAAATATTTGGCTTGATGTTGGTCAGCTTAAATCACCAAAATGACCTGGGGTCAATAAGTTTATATAGCCACCAGTAAGATACTGCTTGTTTTAAGTGCAGCTTGAATTACAATGTTTACTATTGTCCACATACTGATACAGGATAAAAGGTTAAGTTAACTAGATAGTTAGAGATCATTCAGATAGTTTTATAACTAATCCCAAATAATTTATTCGCAGTCTCAGAAACTTTCGGAGTGTTAACACAGCAAGTTACTAGCCCATTACCAAACCTAGAGGAAGCATCATCTCCAAGTTGCGGTTATATTATATTAGAAGAAAATGACAGATATAGTGATGATGATTTTGACACGGATATAAATTGTAAAAAATGTTACTATAGGTTAATGATAACATCAAAGCTTCAAAGACGTATTATGCAACTTGAAAAACAGTTATCGGAAAAATCTAAGAATTCAAGTAAATCTCCCTGTGTGAATGAAGAACTTCTCACTAATGACAAAAATGTGTTGACGTTTTTTAGTCTTAAAAGAATGAAAATAATGGAAAATAAAGATAAATATTGGCTATTTCTCCAGACATTTTTATTAACGAAGACTACGAAATGTAATTATATGTTAGATATCTTGTACTTTCAGCAGAAATACTAAGAAGAAAGTAGATTAACTAATTCACATGTAATATATGGCCCTGTAGTGACCCTTGACCAATTAGTCATTTTCCAGTTATATAACAGCTGGGAAAGATATATCTTTGATGTCTTTAAATAGATAACAATCTTATCATGACCTATGGCCCAAGAATTTTTTTAAATAAAAATAATTTTTTCAAAGAATCAAAGAAAAGGGTATAAAATCTAGAGAATCCCCATACCTTGTATGTTAAGTATTTCCTGAATTTTTATCATATGACTGCCATCTATAAATGGAATTAGCCAAGGCTAAAAGGGCTTATTGCGACGATATATTATGCAGCACTTTTGTGATCATAAAACATACGAAGACAGATTGCTGGTTCTAATGGGGTATAATGTCTGATTTACAGTAGTGTTAAGTGAGAATTGTAGTCCGTATTATAGACTCTTTCTGCATAATTAAATAACAATAACCGTTATCAGAAATCATATTACAACAGAATAAATGTTCTTATTTATTATAGCATTTTACTGATTTTATTGTATGCGTCACCTTATACGTGTTTGATATTGTTGCAGTATTGTTCGCCTGAATAGGTGATAATAGTTCTTATTATATTTTATAATAAAGATATAGTATGTCATGTAACTGAACTCGTGATCTGTTTTTCTGAACTGTTGCACCGCATGGTGTTACCCTTTGTATTTTGCATAAATCATTAACCCTTCTACTAGCCAGTATTACCCGTCAACAAATCCTTCTGTATGTCTCTGGTTATTTGATGGATTGCAATGCTTAGAAAGGGGATTAATAAGTAATTTCCTTGTGGCTTATCTTAAGTCAAAGAACTCACTCGCAACTCACATAGGACCTGGTCGAGTGTGTATCTGTATAAGGTATGCCATTTCATTGACGTTGACGATTAAAGCAGTAGAATCCATGGACATTCTGCTAGCCTCGGTCGTAACTTCCTCTCATTAATTCAATCATTAATTAATCCTGCTATCGAGGTTGTTTTTTCGGTTACCAAGGAGTTACACTTAAACCATTGTGATAAGAATTGATTCTCTTGAGTGAAGAGACAATAAATTGATATGGTTTTGACGTGGAATCCTACGGACATTTAACCAACAGATCGCCAAGAAAGCCAACATTAGAAACGATAAGTGCATGCTTCATTCGTATTACCTAGGATGAAGAAAAGTCTCACTTCGAACAACTGACTTTGGCATTTGCTACTTACTTATACCCTAGGATGACAAATCCTACACATAACCACTGCCACCTACAAAATGTGAACGCATCGAAGTAAAATAACCCATCACCCTGTCGTTATGCAATTAATCAGCAGTCTGCATGTAACTACCCGGCTCAAATTGAAATTTTTGAATGTTGGTTACATTTCAGTGGAGGAAGATTTATGAATATGATACGGAATGGAAGCTAGCAACTATATATATTCATCTGCCGCCATACTCTTCTCAAGTAATGTCCTAGGTTCTTAGATTAGGCATTTGAATATACAAATTTGGAAAACAATACGAAGGTCTTAATTAAAAGCATGCCACTCGTGCCCCTGTTACGAAATCGCTTACAAAATCAGTACTTGCAAAAACAATGTATAACAATGTATCTGACATAGCTACTTTTGCTCTCTGTATAATTATTAACTCTGAATAAAACCCATATCCCTCATAATCATAGGATATCCAGCGTTCATGAGATATGCCACTTGCCATCCGAAATCCGACAATAACAAGTTTATGTAAAAGCTGTAATTCCCTAGATTTGTTCAATCCTGTCTCTCCCGCGGAAGGAGTTAATGATCATTCTGAACGGCGTAATTTACCGTCATTTCGAATGAAAATTCTTCAGACTGATTACTGTAATTTGCTCAACATATGGATGGGAGTCACTCGGCCGCGGAGTGGTTCTTTATCATCGCTGTATTGCGACATCGAAACAAGATTACATTAATGTCGAATGAATTCCATTTTGATGGAAACCTTGGTTTCTGATTAAGACGTGATTGAGCAGAGGTTCATTTTAAGTCGAAAAGTAGTTAGTGCTTTGTATTGTTTAATGGTGGAAATCGTTTCACTTCCCAGTGTGGTTCCATTTTAACACACTTAATCAAATTGACAGTGCCTAACTGCTGTTTTGTACATCTACGAGTACGATCTTCGCCACAACATATAATCAAATTGACAGTGGCTAAAGCCTATACTGTTTTGTACATTTTCGAGTTCGATCTTCGTCACAGCATATCATCAAATTGACAGTGCCTACACGGTAACTGCTGTTTTGTACATCTACGAGTGCGATCTTCGCCACAGCATATAATCAAATTGACAGTGCCTATAGTGTTTTGTACATCTACGAGTACAATCTTCGCCACAGCATATAATCAAATTGAGAACAACATATTTTGAGAAATAACAATTATTTAAGTCAATCTAGAAATATTAATTGATACAATACATAGATAATGAGAAAAATTGATAATGATACCCCGGAATGATACCTACACTGACAAAATGACCTAGTTTAGCCACAGAATGGCTCATAATGCTTACTATGCACTATATGAAAAATGATAGTCGTTTGTTGATTGCCTAAACATCGCCTTTCTTAAATCAGACAAACCACTCTACATATAGAAATTGCCACAGTATACCACGATGACATTTCTCATAGTTAAGCTTGGTCAATCTGTTTCAAGTGACTCATATAGATCTGTTCCGACTAGCAATCTCAGATCTAGTAATACCGCCATTGTTATTCTGCTATATATATGCACATTGTTTGTTCCAAGGATTGTATTCTTCATCCTTATCGTGGATGTCTTATGGACCAATTATTAGTGTTGTCGCGATTATAATCGATACATCGCGATATACATCGCCAAAGCTGATTCTGGCGATGCATCGATGTCTGAAACAAAACATCGATGTTTTAAAAAAAAAATTTAATTTGCTAAATATCACCTTCTTATCTTATTTTGACGCAAATCGCTTACCTTTCTCATGTCTTATTTCATTTTCCAATGTTTTCTGATATTCTTTCGCTTTAAAACTGTTTTAGCTAGTCGAAATGAACCATTAATCTAAAAAAATTCACTTTACTTTCATTTCATCGTTACTAGAAGTTCCCGGATGTACCAGCATACTCTTATTAATTTGTTCTGTTCAGTATTTTAGCGCAATAGCGTTCGGTATTTCAGTGCACTTTTCTCGTACTTTTTCTCGATGTACATCGCGATGTGCATCGATGTTTACTACTGAAAATTGCCGATGCATCGATGTACGATTATGGCACATCGCGACAACACTATCAATTATGTAATATTTATTTTCAACGATCCATTCTTATGTGACAAAATCCTGTAGGTTATTATCATTATATTCTGCTGAGGATTGTACGAATGTATGGTTGTTAAAAACTGTTAAAGTAGGCGATTGGTATGTGTTTGACTTATGGAAAGCGGTGGTTATTAATAGCCAGTTATATCATCTTTTTATACGCTCCAATAATCAACTTAGGAAGGACATCGTCATTACTGTCAGGGGCATATGGATTCACTGGACAGGTTCAATCAGAGATATCAAATGAACCCGGTAATTGTCTTGTCAATATCATATTCCAAATGGTCATCATTCCTATCTTATATATGAGGATATCTTAATTTATGAGTAACCTGATTTTTAATCACGTGGTTGTGCATAAACGATAGCGCATGCGCAGAGGTAGAAAGAGAGATATACGTAGTTAACAGACATCTACGCATCATATGATTTTATTTCTGTTTCATATACAATGGTTAATTTGCATAATTTACACTTAGTTTTTATTCATTGAAACCCATTTATATTCAATGAGTGATAATTAGATTTCGATGGGGATGTACAGGGTGTCCATAATGTATTTTTAAAATTGGCAAAGAGACTTTATGCACATGCATGATTTTAAACATTGTGATTTTCTTGAATTGAAAACCCTGGATCTGTATAACCTTTAGCTAACAATAAAACGTATTGTTCTCCTTTTATTGAAAGAAATGATCCGTTATATTGTTTACCTTTTGTGTATCAAGTAGGACTATTGTAAACAAAGAATATATGTGAGCTTAGATTGATGAGAGGATATCATCATTAAACAAATTTATTGAAAGATTTTATCGTTTTTCTTTTCAGTTCACCAGCTTCAGATCTTGCTGCAAGACGAGGTGTATTCAGTAGAAGGCATTATGGATCGGTTGAACTGGTAAGGAAGTAATATTTTATTTTGAACAGTCTAGATATCTTAAGCAAATGGGGAACACATTCAGATATTGCAGAGTGCAGACCTGGAGAAAGCCTTACCCTGTCCCATGATGCTAATAATTCCATGTGAATAACACCTGGATATGCAGTTATCCTTTTGAAAAAATATACCTTAATCACCTATCTCACAAAATCATATTCACTTCCCTTAAATCCATATACTTTTTCAGGAGAATCAGTTCATCAAGCAATGTTATTTTCCCTCGCAGAAATTATTTTATACCGACAAAGTTACATGTAAAAAATCGTGTTTTTGGAATATGACATTACTAATCTAGATAAAATGTATATTCAATACCGTCCAGTCAATCAAATTGAGCCTCTCGCTTTCATCGCTTTCATCTCTCTATTAGGTAACATGATCCCCATTGCATTGGACTACGTGACTTTTATCTGCCAAACCTGTATAATAAGAAAAATTCAGGTAACATATATTTCATTCCAATTAATTTACTTATTTCAATTTCTAAAATTATTCGAATTGTGCATATTTACAATACACCATAATCTATAACTGAAAAAAAACCTATACACGTATCAAGCGTCGTTGACATGGAAACCAATGAGAAATGGAAGGTTCACGATAAATTGACAACCGCCTCTGTCAACGTGATATCGATCAATAAAACACATCAAATATTATTCCATCGGAGACAAAAATCTCCTTTATCACTTAAATGTCGTGGGAATTCTGCATACAACGTGTGAAATAAGGAAAAAAGAAAAAAACGTACCTTCGACGTTCCGACATTTTGTTACCGAAATGAATCGTTTCTGTAACCAGCGTAATCGAGTGGATCACCAGTGTTTATGCAACTCTTCCCTTTTAAAGAAACTTCTAATTATTTGTCCAGTTCGCATCCTAGAATTAATGGATCGATTGACATTTAAGTGTTATTTGCCGCAAGCCTGGCGACATAAAAAGTTTCTCGGAGTCATCAATTCATGACGTATCGTAATCGAACTATTGAAAGAAGAACATAAGTGTAGAAAATGACATATACTTAATATTTCAATTAAGAAATATAGACCAAAGAGCAGGGTTTCTAGTTTCGAATAACACCCAGCTGGTCTCGGCACAAACGTTTTCTGTACCCCGAACGACCGAAGGGAGTGAGGGGTTCGAAAGCTTTGTGCCGAGACCAGCGGCGTGTTATTCGAAACTAGTAACCCTGCTCTGAGGTCTATATTACGATTCGAACATGAAAATTCACCAAATTGTTTCGAATAATTCATCATGATCCGCCATTACTACGACCCACCGTTATGACGTCACACATTACACGTTTTAACTGGGTTATTATACTCGAATATAACCCAGCTGAAGCATTGACTTTGATTACAGTTTATAGAAGGCGTGAATACAGTCATGTTCGAATACGCAATATTGACCCATCATATCCTGTTGTGCAGATACAAACCATAGGTAGACAGTCTTTTAACATCATAACCAAACTTATAGTGGGGAGTGTACATGTTTTCCAAGCTTAACTGTTGTGTTGCTTGCTCTATGATCTTCTATGGAATTAAACAATATTACACAGGTTCGTGTATCAAGCCGTTTCAACCCATTACATGTCTTTGTTTTGCATCTAGAGAGACACATTAGAGGTATCGCATATCGCTTTGGAAATAGGATGTTATCCAACTTTTAATAGTCACCGTATCTGATTTACAGCGTCATTTATTTATTTCCTCTCAAAAGACATCCTTAAACCTCATTTAATAACAAGGTACGAGGGTCGTTCCTTGATAAACGTGGGAGCATTAGTATTTAGATTTTTGCAAATGATCCTCGTACACCCCCCCCCCTCCAACCCCCCTTGGTTACCGGAAGTCACCATATTAAAACTCGTTAATGTTTGAATCACCACGGGAGGTATTGCAACAGATTTCAAACAGTCATTTTAATTGGATTTTAGCTATTTTTTAAAGATTTGAACAGTTGTGTTAAGCCAATTTTAGCAATCTAAAAAGCATAATTAAGATTTTATTTATTCATAGGCTCTTTATTATACGAAAAATAAATGTTTATGAAGTTTGAAGTCATTTCTTTCTTATTCATAAAACAAATGTTTCAAAATAAAAGTGAAACTCACAAAATCAAAGCCTCGTTGATGACTGATTAGACCACTTTGTAACTGGTGAACCTAATCTAACCAGATCTTTGATTGATTAAAGTTCATATATCAGATCCCTCTCCTGTCGACCACATAGAAAACAAGAACACAAATGTGTACAAAATGTCCCCACCTATGGGTGATCCCGTCAAATGGTTATCCTACAAATGAGTAGATAAGACTTTACCGACACAATTTGAGGACGGAAAATCCAAAATGGCCACCTTAAAATTTACCAAGAATGCCAAAAAATTAGTCAGTTCTAGATTTTCAAACTAAGAACCCCTGAAAATTTGAAATTGATCAGTCACACAGTTAACCAGAAAACATGTAAACAAGACTTTACAGACAAGATTTGAGGACCGAAAATCCAAAATGGCTGCCTTGACATTTATCCAGAATGCCAAAAAACTAATCTGTTCTAGATTTTCATACCAAGAATCATCCCTGAAAATTTGAAATTGATCTACCAAACGGTTCACCTGGAAGTGCGTAGACAAAACTTTACAAACAAGATTTTAGGACAGAAAATCCAAAATGGCTGCCTTGACATTTACCCAGAATGCCCAAAAACTAATCAGATCTAGATTTTCATACTAAGAATCATCCCTGAAAATTAGAAATTGATCTACCAAACGGTTCACCTAAAAACGCGTAGACAAGACTTTACAGGCAAGATTTTAAGACGGAAAATCCAAAATGGCTGCCTTGACATTTATCCAGAATGCATAAAAACTATTCAGATCTAGATTTTCATACTGAGAATCACCCCTGAAAATTTCAAATTGATCTACCAAACGGTTCACCTGAAAATGCGTAGACAAGACTTTACTGACAAGATTTTAGGACGGAAAATCCAAAATGGCTGCCTTGACATTTACCCAAAATGCCAAAAAACTAATCAGATCTAGATTTTCATACTGAGAATCATCCCTGAAAATTTGAAATTGATCTACCAAACGGTTCACCTGAAAACGCGTAGACAAGACTTTACTGACAAGATTTTAGGACGGAAAATCCAAAATGGCTGCCTTGACATTTACCCAGAATGCCAAAAAACTAATCAGATCTAGATTTTCATACTAAAAATCATCCCTGAAAATTTAAAATTGATCTACTAAACGGTTCACCTGAAAACGTGTAGACAAGACTTTACACACAAGATTTTAGGACGGAAAAATCCAAAATGGCCGACAATAAAAAAGTGATTATGAGTTTTTGCTAATTTCCTTTTACAAAATTATCACATATAACTACTGTTAACAATAACATAGGCTTTTACAACAAAGTACACCTGAAATTATTTATAAAGCTACTAAATAGTTAAAGTATGAAAACTTAAAAACACCATTCAATATGATACAAAGTATTATCGTGCGCTAACTTTTCTTAAAACATTCAAAATGGCTGACATGACTGAGCTAACAGGTCCAAAACCTAATCAGATCTAGAATGAAGTGAGCTGAACAAGATGTTAAAGTTTTAAAAGCAACTGTGAAGCCGTTTTTCTTAAAGTTTGCAGACAAGGATTTTAGCATTTGACTTCAAAATGGCCGACAGGAAGTAGGTATCGAGTTAATTTTTTTTCATCCACATCTGTATGCACTCATTAGTTATCCCTGAAAATTTGAAGGTGATATCTGTAGCGGTTTTGGAGAAAACTGCCGGACGTACGGACAGACAGACGGACAGACGGACAGACGGACAGACGGACAGACAGACGGACGCGCCTAGGCCGACAATATGGCCCCACACTATGTGGTGGGGACATAATTAGTTCACACACCATGTGTCATGTGTCGTTGATTTTTAGTCGGTGATATATTATCACAGCGTCGGCATTTACGAATTGAGTATGCCACAACCGTTACATTTTTGTAATTACAACCATGGAAGAATTTGTGTAATGTTTGGAGTTAAATGCTAGTATTACTCTAATCACTGGCGGATTAGGGGGGGGGCTGGGGGCCCGCCCCCCCCCCCCTTGGGTGGGCCCAGAAAAAAAAATTGGGCCCAAAAAAAATTTTGGGCCAAAACCCAAAAGTCGGCCTTTTTGGTCATTACTGGGCCTTTTAAGGCCTTATTTTTTAAATTCAGGCCAAATTTTGAAGAAAATGGGCCTCAAAATTTCAAAATTTGGGCCCACTTTTGCGTTTTAGGGGCCCAAAATTTTTTTTCGCGCAAGCGCGGACGTTTTTTTCTCTGACCTGAATTTTGGGCCCCCCCCCCTTGTTGGTTCCCAGATCCGCCCTTGCTAATAGCTCATGCTAGTTGAGTATGCACTTCTATGTCCAGAGATTTTCTCTTCAGAAATCATCTATGTGAAGGTCATTGATCAATTTTGGCTTGGTAACATATTTGCCACAGAAGGCGAAATAGGTCAAATGGCCACGCCCTTTTTTACGCGAATTCTCCCCCCCCCCATTTTTGCATCTCCGGAACCGTTGGACATAGAAGGTTGTGTGACCACTCAAAATGTCCGGAATGGCCACATTATAGGGGGTCAATAATACATAATGTATTTAAAAAACTCGCAACCTCGTGGTTTAGGGTACCCATTCACCTAAGACCTCTTGGCCAACTCAACAACCAAAAAAGTTTGTTTCCTTCGCTGATCTGACTAGATAGAGGCTGCGGATTCAGTCTTAAATGATGCAGGATAGATGAAAACTGTTGTGCGTAACATGCTAAAATCAGTTTTTGGCAAATATCTTGAGAACCATTGACTTTTTTAAATACATTATGTATTATTGACCCCCTATAATATGGCCATTCCGGACATTTTGAGTGGTCACACAACCTTCTATGTCCAACAGTTCCG